AAAGATGAGGCTTTCTACTCCCGTAAGGATTTACACCCTTGGAAACCCTGTACAGGGTCGCTATGGGTCGGAACCGACTCGACGGCACTTAACAACAACATCATAGTGTGAGAAGCACTGCCCTGTATACACTAAATTCCTTTGGTCCTCTCAACAACCCTACATGGTAGGTATTTCTTATCATCCAGATTTTATAGATAAGAAAACAACGAGATTAGGCAGCTTGGTCACATAGTAAGTAGCTATGTGACTGAGATTATCTGGTTCTCGAGTAGTGTCTGTGTTATTAGCATGATGCTATGGAGTCCTCGCATGGTGCTGTATGATAAGTACTGGGTTGCTGACCATAAGGTCAGTGGTTCAAACCTATCAACTGTTTCATGGAATCCCTATATAGGGTCACTATGAGTTGGAACTAATTCCATGGCACTTAACAGCATAAAACAGTGAGTGCCACCATCTGTCTTTCTTTGTACCAAAGTGGACCTTCTATTCTACCCTTACCTTCACTACAAATATTGCAATAGCCAAGGAAAGGAGATCACAATTTCTGTGGCTTAGGGCACAGGCCAACCCCATTTCAGTGATGCCTCAGTTTCTCACAAATTCTCCTAATGGAGGCCACCTGCTGGCTAGGTAACTTCCTGGGACCTGAGATCTCTGGAGATAAGGCTATGAAGCCTGCTCACCCCGTGATTTGGGAATGTTGGGGATTGAAAGTAGCTGTGGATGAGACTGCTGTCAGACTGGAGGCAGTCCCACAGGCCAGTAGGATAAGGCCTAAGACCTCTAGACACCAAGCTCAGGCTGGCATACAATCATTCTCGAGCCTGCACACCCAGAAGAGCTGCTCAGGGTGATTGTGGGAAGTGGCACTCAGGCTGAGGGATCCTTAGAGAAGCTCTAAGACCCAGGTTCTAATCTTGGTTCTGCCTTTAACTAGCATGTGACCTTGAAAAACTCATTCTTCCTCTCAGGGCTGTTTCCTTGACTATAAAATATGGGGGTTGGATTAAATAATGCCTTGAGAACCTTCTAACTGTAATATAAATCTAATACAAGTTAGTCTCTACTTGCAGAGGGGGCTTTACCAACAGCAGTAGATGGTGTGTCATGGGAACTTCCAAAAAGCAGAATATAAAGGGCCAGGAAAAGGATCAGGAAACTAACAACTTAGGGGAAAGACAGGGAGATCTTAAAAAGAGTCACTGGTAGCCCTTCCTTCCTGCCTGAGACCTGGAAATCTTCTACATGCAAGCAGGTTGAGGAACAAGAGGTGGGGTACACGGGCAGATCTTCAGAGAGGATCTGGAATCCCTGCCTCTGCCTGTGAAAGTCCTTTGGATTCATGATTCAGCAAGGAAAACACCAGGGGCAGTGGACAGGTGAACCAGGAATCAGAGGACCTGACTCACCAGCCTATCTCTAAGTCTTCTTTCCTTGTCAGTAAAATAAGGGAGTTAGATCAGATCAGGGGGTTCCAAACCTGACCATGTCAACAGAATCATCTGAGGTGCTGTTGTAAATGCAGAGTCCCTGGGTCCCACCCTAGCCAAGTGGATCAGAATCTCCAGGGAGGGGCCAAAGGACCTGTATTTTGAACAAACTCCCTGGATAGTATTTTTAAAGTCAGAGGTATCATTTATTGACTATCTTAATCCAAAAAGCAATTCATGTTCATTGTAGAAAGGTAAGAAATAACTTGGGTAAAACTAGTTCTAATCCTACAGCCTGGAGTCCTGGTGTGGCACTGTGGGTAAATGCACCAGACTGCAAAGTCGGTTTGAACTGCAAGATCAGCAGTTCAAGCTTACCAGCTGCTCCTTGGAAACCCTACACAGGGTTGCTATGGATCAGAACCGACTTGATGGCACTTAACAACAACAACAATCCTATAGCCTAGAAGAAAAAACTTAGTGATTTGAGGTTTCCGTCTATCTATTCCAACCAAGAAGTCCTAGTGTGGCACTGTGGGAAAATGCACTGGACTGCAAAGTCAGTTTGAACTGCAAAGTTGGCAGTTCGAATTCACCAGCCGCTGCTTGGAAACCCTATATAGGGTTGCTATGAGTTGGAACTGACTCAAAAGCACTTAACACAACACACACATTCCCACCACAGTGATGGTTTAACTTAGCGGCCAAGCCAAAGGTAAATCCTGCCCAGGTGTTCTGTAGCAGCTAGGCATTTGGAAACCACAAAGGTGCTTTCCAACCCTAAGATGATTTGATGTTTGTAATCCACAATTACCTGGCATCGAGTCTAGGGGGTCGGGAGGACAGACTGGCTTGCTACAATGTTAAACTGGCTGCTGCAACAGCCCTGAGACTAGCAGAGCAATCTGGTGATCCACCTGCAATCCCATCAGCCTCTCCCGTGGGACCAAGAGAGTTCACACACATTATTCCTCTCAGTCTTCTACCACACGGCAGTCCCCAAAAGGCCTTTTCCCAAAAGAAGCTGAACTGCCTTGTACCAACAGAGTCAAAGACTGCTCTGATTATGAGGACCAACAATAAATGAAAACTTTTTCTAGAAAGTAAACAAAAGAGCCTGACCACAAAG